TTGGGAAATAATCTTCACTAACCCTTTATCTGACAGAGGACTAATATCGAGTATATACAAAGAACTAAAGAAGCTGAAAAGCAGCAAACCAAGTAATCCAATTAAAAAATGGGGAACAGAGCTAAACAGAGAATTCTCGACAGAGGAATATTGAATGGCAGATAAACACTTAAAGCAATGCTCAACCTCATTAGCCATCAGGGCAATGCAAATCAAAATGATCCTGAGATTTCACCTCACACCCATCAGAATGGCCAAGATGAAAAACTCAAGTGACAACACATGCTAAAGAGGTTGTGGAGAAAGGGGAACCCTCCTCCACTGCTGGTGGGAATGTAAACTTGTACAACCACTTTGGAAATCTATCTGTCGCTTTCTCAGACAATTAGGAATAGTGCTTCCTCAAGACCCAGCTATACCACTGCTAGGTATATACCCAAAATTTGCTCAAGTACACAAAAGGGATACTTGCTCAACCATGTTTATAGCAGCTTTATTTGTAATAGCTAGAACCTGAAAACAACCCAGATGTCCATCAACAGAGGAATGGATACAGAAATTGTGGTATTTTTACACAATGGAATACTACTCAGCATTCAAAAAGGAGGAAATCATGAAATTTGCAGGCAAATGGTGGGATCTAGAAAAGATCATTCTGAGTGAAATATCCCAGAAGGAGAAAGACAAACATGCTATATACTTGCTTATATAGACCTATAAGATATGATAAACATAATGAAATCTATACACCTAAAAAAGATAATCAAGAGAGCAGACATGGGGTAAGATGATCAATCCTTGTTTAGAAAGACAGATGGGATGTTCATTGAAATATGACAGGAGTCTACTGAAGGCATCTGAAAGACTCTCACTAGCAGTGTTTTCAAAGCAGATACAAAGACTCATAACCAAACCTTCAGCAGAGTACAGGGAATCATATGAAAGAAGGGGAGTTAGTATGATGGGGAAAGGATAGAAGCTCCACAAGGACCAAATATATCTGGGCACAGGGTCTTTTCTGAGACTGACATTCAACCAAGGACCATGTATGGATATAACCTAGAACCTCTGCTCGGATGTAGCCCGTAGTAGCTCAGTAACCAATTGGTTTCCTATAGTGAGGGGAAAAAGGACTATTTCTAACAGGAACTCAATGGCTGGCTCTTTGACCTCCCCACCTCCCAAGGGAGGAGCAGTCCTGTTAGGCCACAGAGGAGGACTTTGCAGCCAGTCCTGAAGATACCTGATAAAACAGGATCAGATGAATGGGGAGGAGGTCCCCCCATCAGTAGACTTGGAAAGGGGCAGGGTGGAGATGAGGGAAGGAGGGTGGGATTGGGAGGGAATGAGGGAGCAGGATACAGCTGGGATACAGAGTTAATAAAATGTAACTGATGAGAAAAAAATAAAATTAAAAAAATATATAAAATAAAGAGACAATGTGATAAAAGATTTCATGGTGATCTTTTCATTGGGTACCACTCCCCCTTTTTAATTTTTTCAAGAGTATTTTTAATAGATAAATGAGCCTTTTCTACCATGCCCTATCCTTGTGGATTATATGGAATTTTAGTGGTATGTTTAATATTAAACTTAATACAAAATTGTTGAAAAGTTTTTCCAATATAATCAGGGCCATTGTTAGTTTTAATTTGTTGAGGAAATCTCATCACTGCAAATGCTGAAAGTAATGAACTATGACATGTTTACCTGTTTTCCCAGATTGTAGGGTGGCAAAAATAAAGGTATCAATATTAACATGAACATATTTTAAATTGCCATTACCAAATTTATTTATATGTGTAACATCCATCTGCCAAACAGTGTTTGGTATGAGTCCTCTAGGATTTACTCCTAGGTAAGGTGTGGGCAAAAATGTCACACAGGAATGGCATTGTTTAACAATTTGTCTGGCTTTTTCTTTAGGAATTTTAAACATTAATTGTAAAGTATGAGAATTAAGATGATGAATTTTATGAGCTTTAGCAGCCTGTGAAAGATTGTCCATTGTATGTTGTATGTTGCATGTTAAAGTCAATAATTTTAGTTGTCAAATCAGCTTTAAAATTATCTTTTGCTAATGGACCAGGTAGTCCTGAATAACCTTGAATAGGACCAATATAGAAAGGCTGAGAACATTTTTGAATTAGAGACTGACATTGTAAAAATAATTTTGCTGTGTCAGAAGCATGTTTTATTTGTGCTGAAGTTTCTAAAATAAGAATCAAATGAGCCAAATAAGCACTATCTGTATAAATATTTAAAGCTTTATCTGGAAATGCTGAAAATATGGCAATAATAGCTTGCAACTCTACAAGCTGAGCTGACTTTAATAAGGTCTGAAAACTTATAGTTTGTTTATTAAAAAATATGCCACTTGACCATTAGAAGATCCATCTGTAAATATAGTAAATGAATTTGCAAGAGGTTGTAAAGAAGTCTTTCAGGGAAACACAAAGGCATGCAAATTAAAAATCTGAATTAATCTATCTGGTGGATAATGATTATCAATTTGTCCTGGAAATGAGGCACAAGCAATTGGCCAACAATCTGTATTTTGAAATAACCAATCTACTTGTGCTTTAGAATAGGGCTAAATTTTTTATTAAGTTCTATGCCAAAATATTTTTTGCTACTATCTCTTCCTAATAAAATAATATCTGCAATTGCATTATAATATGGATATATTACCTTACTAGGAGAAGAAGGAAGGTGCACCCACATAATTGGTGCTACTTGCCAGAACACTGCAGTTGGTTAATAGTGGTATTAAATATGATAAGCATTAGAGGTTTGGAATAATCAACAAAAGTAATAAATTGGGATGCAATAGCATGTTTAACCTTTTTATGGGCTAAGCCTCCTTCCATAGTAAGAGTTCTAGGAGACTTAGGATCATTATCTCCCTTTAAGCTGTCAAATAATGGTTTTTATTTGCCCGTGGTTAGTTTTAGATAAGTTCATAACCAATCAATATCATCTAGCAATTTTTGAAAATCATTAAGTGTCTTTAAATTACCCATTCTAAAAGTTGCCTTTTTAGTTATAATTTTTGGTCCATTAATCTGAAATCCCAAATACGTATAAGGATCTTGAAGCTGAACTTTTTCAGGTGCAATTTGTAGTCCTGAAATTGTTTTTATAAAGCTTTTATTTATTTTTACATTTTTTTCTTTATTAATTACACTTAATTCCCTTTGTATTCCCTCTGTGGTTTCCTCCCTCCTCCCATCCCAATCCCTCCCTTCCTCCACCCTCTGCATGCATGCCCCTCTCCAAGTCCACTGATAGGGGAGGTCTTCTTTTCCTTCCTTCTGATCCTAGTCAATTAGGTCTCATCAGGAGTGGCTGCATTGTCTTCTTCTATGACCTGGTAATGCTGCAGTAACCTGACACAGAGGACTTCTGAAAAGCTCTGCCCTGCAGACTATCAAAGCAGATGCTGAGACTTATGGGCAACCTTTGGGCAGAGTGCAGGGAATCTTATGAAAGAAGTGGGAAACAGTAAGATCTGGAGAGGACAGGAACTCCATAAGGAGAGCAACAGAACCAAAAAATCTGAACACAGGGGTCTTTCCTGAGACTGATACTCCAAGGACTATGCATGAAGATAACCTAAGAGCCCTGCACAGATGTAGCCCATGGCAGTTCAGTATCCAAGTGGGTTCCATTGTAATAGGAACAGGGACTGTCTCTGACATGAACTGATTGGCCTGCTCTTTTAATAACCTCCCCCTGAGGGGGAAGCAGCATTACCAGGCCACAGTCCTGAAAATTTTTAAAACTGTTTTTAAGTCTGTAAAAACACTTTAAAACTGAATTTTCCTCTTTGCCTGCCAGTATTATATCATCCATATAATGAATGATATAAATTTCTTTCCAATTGTCTCTAGCTTTTTGTATAGCAGAAGCTACAAATTTTTGACACAAAGTTGGACTATTCGCCATACCCTGAGGCACCACATTCCAATGATATCTTTTTATAGGTTCCTTAAAGTTAATTGATGGTACACTGAAGGCAAAATGCTTTTGATCATTTGGATGCAAAGGAATTGCAAAAAAATCAATCTTTTAAATCTATAATTATTTTATAATACCCCTGATGGATGGCTACAGTCATAGGAAGTCCAGGTTGCAGGGCTCCCATTAGAACCATGGTGGCGTTAACTGCATGTAAATCTTGTAACAATCTCTGTTTGCCTGATTTCTTTTTGAGACAAATACAGGAGTATTCCATGGAGAGTTGCTTTCTACTATATGACCAGCCATTAATTGCTCCTGCACTAGCATCTGCAGTGCTGTCAATTTTTCCCAAGCTCAAAGGTCACTGATCAACCCATACAGAGATGTCAGTTTTCCAGGTTAAAAAGTTTTGCATTTTGTTTTTGCCGCCTCAGGCAAAACTGAAACTAAAGACCTGTACCTGGGCTAATATCCCGGGACAAAACTGAAATCACAGAAACGAAAATAGCCACAATTTTGACCAAAAGTAAAATCAAGCACTTTCAAGTAGACGCAAAACCACAAATAATTAATCACAGAAATGAAACGGTAACTCTGGGCACAACACCAAGAAAAAGACAATTAATTATACATAAAGACGAAGTAAAACCGAAAACCTGGCTTTTTCCAGGTTTCTCTGCCACAGAAGTTCCAGAAAGGCTACTAAAACAGATCCTCATTCCGGTTCCCCTATCCCAGGAGTTCCGGGGAGGCAGAAACTGATAGGATCAAAAACTTCTTTTTTTACCTCAGTGGCTTGCAGCTTTTCAACTCAAATTTTGTAGTGGCGGCCACAGTTTTTGAGCAATGTTCCAGACTCTCAATGAATTTTCTTCTGAGATGAGAAATTCTCTTCTGAGATGAGAATTCTCAATGAATTCTCTTCTGAGTATGAGAAAGCTGTGACTGAACCTTGTCAGGTCCAAAAGTACTATAGGAATCTTGCGGCACGTCTCCAACTCGAGACCACCATCTTACATTAATTGTTCCTTTTTTAGGAAACCATGGACAAATGTCTTCAATAAAACTGAAAAACATAAATAGATGCTTTGATTTAACCTTTACCTCTGGAGCCTTGAGAGCCTCTCCTACTTGTTCCACGTATTTTTCATGCTGGCTTAAATCCTGTCCCATGATCACCGATTCTTACCTCAGACTGAGCGCTGCGGCAGGCTCCTTCTGCGTCCCGAGGTTTTTCTTCACCGGCCTTGCACTCTCGGCGTTCTTCACAGAATCCCCTATATTCAGGCCTCCACATTGGACATCAATTTTTTCCGACGCGCTGGACTGTCAGCGTGTAATCTGGATGGGGGTGTGGGAATGGGATGGAACAGGAGACGCGAAGAATGGAGACAAGACGAAAATCTGATCAAGTGTGTTTATTGTTCTATAGGTTACAGCTTATAAAGAGTAAGAATGGGCAATTAGTGGGGGAGGAGGAACTAGTTTCAGTGAAAATCGCAAAGCAGCATATTCTCAAGGAAATTCTAAAAGCAGGAAGACAGTTCTCAGGTAAGCGAGAGACGAGTTCTCACATACCTTGCCAAATCTAATCGGTTGAACAAATCTCTACAAAGCTCAAAGCAGCACCTGTGGTCCGGGGATAGAAACTCACTGTGCCATGCAAGGCACAATATGCATCATAGATTCCAAACAGGCAGGAGTCAAACAGCCATTCTATGGCTCCACACAGTAGGATGTCATTTTGTTCTTACAACAGTGTCCTTTGCTTTACAGAAGATTTTCAGTTTCATGAGGTCCCATTTATTGATTGTTGATCTTAGAGCCTGTGCTGTTGGTATTCTGTTCAGGACGTGTCTCCTGTGCCATGGAGTTCAAGGCACTTTCCCACTTTTTCTTCTAACAGGGTTAGTGTGTCTGGTTTTATATTGAGGTCTTTGATCCACTTGGATTTTAGTTTTCTACACAGTAATAAGTATGGATCTATTTGCATTTTCCACATGTAAACATCCTGTTAGACCAGCACCATTTGTCAAATATTCTATCACTTTTTCCAATTTAAGGTTTTGGCATCTTTGTCAAAAATCAGATGTCCATAATGTGTGTCTTTGACTTGCTTGGTTAAAATAGCCACCAAGGTGCTTTATACCCTTTGTGGATATTGTGAAGGATGCTGTTTTCCTAATTTCTTTCTCATCCCATTTGTCTTTTGTATATAGGAAGGCTACTGATTTTTTTTTAGTTGATTTTTTATCCATCCACTTGGCTGAAGGTGTTTATCAGCTGTATAAGTTCCCTGGTAGAATTTTTTGGGGTCACTCATTTATACTATCATATCATTTGCAAATAATGATACTTTGGCTTCTTCCTTTCTGAACTGAATCTACTTGATCTCCTTTAATTGTCTTATTACTTCAAGTACTATGTTAAAAAGGTATGGAGTAGGCAGTCTTTCCTTGTCCCTGATTTCAGTGGGATTGATTTAAGTTTCTCTCCATTTAGTGTGATGTTGAATATAGGCTTGCTGTATATTGCCTTTACTCTGTTTAGGATAAGTGCCTTGTATCCCTTATCTCTCTTTGACTTTAAACATAAATGAATATTGGATTTTATTAAATGCTTTTTCAGCATCTAAGGAGATTATCAGGTTGTCTTTATTTCAATTTGCTTAAATGGTGTATTACATTGATGGATTTCCATATATTGAACCAGCCCTGCATATCTGGTATGTAGCCTAGTTGGTCATTGTGGATGATATCTTTGATTTGTACTTGGATTCAGTTTGCAAATATTTTATTAGATTTTAGTGTCAATGTTCCATTTTTCCTTTTAATTATGTGAGTAAGAATGTAAAAACATATGAATTAAACCTGCTGGGTCCATTTCTATTGGTTCTGTGCATATGGTTTCAGGGCTAAGGACTTTCCACAATTAGGGAGCTCATCCCTGACTCAGGCTAACTTCCCCACATGCAGAAGAGTTCCATTCATTAGTGACTAACAGGAGTCTAACCCTGAAATGACCTAAGCTGCCTTGGACAAGAAACATTAGAAAGCACAAGCAAACACAATTAAATACCTTAGCAAACAATTAATGGTGCCATGGATCTGAAATTCTGGAGCTGCAGGGAAGGCTAGGGACATTGGCCTGGACCAATTATCACCTGTCTTTATTCTGAGGATCACCTACAATACCACTGACCATTCTCTCCTTGGGTGACTGAAATCTTGAAATTCTTCCTTCCTCTTTCTAAGCACAATTACAGGCATGTGTCACCATACCTCACTGAGGTGGCTTCAACTTCATTAGTGATGTACTAAAATGATGGAAGTACAAAACCACTTATCTGTGTGAGCCTTGGTTTCTCTCTCTGTAGAATAAGGATAGAACTCTGCCCTAGATTTCAGATGAGTTATAACAGACTCACGAATAAAGGAAAATAATATTGCTCATAGAGGGAAGACAGTGGACCTTAACCAGGAGTGCTGCACTTAATGGGAGCCTTTTTCTGTTACTGGAGTTAGGACCAGAACCCATGTCCTGGCTACCCTAACCAGCCAGGGTTAGCCCCTCAGAATCAATAAGACAATTAAAAGAACTGAATTATCAAGCTGTGACATGTCTATTTATGTGACATGTCTAATGCCAGCACTTTAGAGGCAAGGTGGGTACATCTGGGAATGCCAGATATATATAGTGGGACATCTCAATTGTGAGACTATTCTTTAAAATAAAAAAGAGAGAAAACAACGACAAAAATCAAATTATTAATGAAAACTGAAAACATGACAACATATTTGTTCAGTAATTTTGACCAGTGATGAAGTTATAAGGTAACTAATTCATCCCTGAGGTCCTAAAAGTTTTAGACAGAGGCAAGGAAGACACAACTAAGTAATCTAACCAAGCCATAAAATAAAATTTTGACATATTTAAATCCCTCTTTCATTCTCAGCACATTCATCTCCTGCAAGGTATTCAGACATTGAGTTAAAGTTTATTTAACAGAAAAGTTCTCATCTGGAGGAATCATCCATTTCACAGAATGAGATCCCTGGGGTAATTTGAGTTTTATGGACTCCACAGTTTTACTAATGTTCACCTGAGGGGGAAATATAAATGTGGCTTTAGAATATCCTTATTCCAACTGGGCAGTCAGGTTAAAGGGATGAAAGAGTGGAGAATGGGGAGCTTTAAGATCCAATTGGTTTTTTTTTCATATAGCTCTTTTACTTGCTTGGTTAGGGTCACACCAAGGTACTTTATGTTATTATATTATTTGTAGCTATTATAAAGTGTGTTGTTTCCCTAATTTATTACTCATCCCAGCCCTTTCATCTTTTGTACACAGGAAGGCTACTGATTTTTTTGAGTTAATGTTGTATCCAGCCAGTTTGCTGAAGGTGTTTATCAGCTGAAGGAGTTCTCTGGCGGGCAAATGATGGGAACTAGAAAAGATCATCTTGAGTGAGGTAACCAGAAGCAGAAAGACACACATGGTATATACTCACTAATAAGTGGCTATTAGACATATAATAGAGGATAAACATACTGAGATCTATACTCCCAGAGAAGCTGGACAGAAGAGAAGACCCTAGGGAATATGGTCAATTCAGAAGGGAAAGCACAATGGACATAGGAAGCAGGAAAAGATAAGGAACAGGACAGGAGCCTTCCACAGACAGCCTCTGAATGATTCAGAGTATTGATTCAGGTATTGAAGCACAGGCTGAGACTCATACCCAAACTTTGGGGAGAGAGCACACAATTTTATGAAGGTCGTGGGAGATAGAAAGACCTGGAGGGGACAGGAGCTCCAAAAGGAGACCAACAAAGCCAAAAAACTGGTCCCTGAGGCCTCTGCATAGACTGATACCATAACCAAGGACCACATACAGAGAGGAGCTAAAACTCCTGCTCATATGTAGCCTATAGACTCACTCACTCACACACACACACACACACACACACACACACACACACACACACACTTATTCTTGAAGAAGTAAGACAGACTCCAGCAGGTAGGTTCCAAAAAGCTTCTCTTTATTTAAGCTTCTCTTCATTTAGCTTCTCTAACAGGCTTCTTTTACTTTACCCAATAACATGCATACATACATACATGAGTGCATACATACATACATACATTCATACACATTCACATACAGGGTAGATGGAGCAAACTCCAGAGAGCAACTTTCAAACCACCTTACATATATAGAACATGGTGGATGGAAGAGACTCCAAAGAGTATGTTCCAAACCACCTTAGATACATACATATTGGTGGATGGAACAAACTCCAAAGAGCAAGCGCTAAACCACCTTACATACATATACATATATCATGATGGATGGAACAAACACAAAAGAACAAGTTCCATCCCAACCTTCCATACATACTCTTTGTGGATGAAAGAAACTCCATGAGTGAGTTCCAAACCACCTTACATACATACACCTTGGTGGATGGAGCAAGACCCAGAGTGCCAGTTCAAACCACACTTTTACCCTTTTCCCACAGCTTATCTAACCCAGCAAGATCTTGCAAGCAGTACTAAACACACAATGTGGTTACATTCTACTTTTCTTTAAGTGAATTATTAAAATGAATACAGGCAAAAACCCCACACATTCCCCAATATCTTCATATGATCAAATGTTTTACATATTATGGGTGAAAAACAAGTTATTCCCAAGGCTCCATATACCCTTGTAATTAATCAACTTGTGATAAATTAACAAGATGAGCAAGCACCTTAACTGCTCAGCCAGCTTTTCTTTACTGGCAAGCTAAAATTTGGGGTAACCAAAAATCAATCACATTGAAAAGTAATCTTATAAAAGTCTTAAAAGGATAACAAATCTACACACACACATAAACAAATTAGAAACCTCTACTTTAAATCTTGAAGGAGTGTGCATCAGCTAATTGATAAATTTTATTAAATCATATCAAGAAGCTGAGGGCAAAAATAGGCATGAGGAAGTCAATTGCTCTCTCAGTTACAGGCCCATCTGAAGAGGGTCCAGTCAGCAAGTGCTCCCTTGGGCTTTTTATTTCTGCTCACCAATCTTGAAGAGTCACTTTCTTTACTATTAAGAGTGTACTTTTCTTAACTTCACATGGTTCTCTAAGATTTTTTTACATCAGAGCCATTAGCAAAAATATCTTACCTGACCTTGCTAAACAATCTACAATTTGACATGGGAAAAGGAGGTAAGCCCAGACCCTGGGTTGGAAAATTCAGAGTAGGTAGTGGGATATGCCAGCCAAGAGAACCATATGAAATGTGGTCCACTGCAGCTGTATTTATTATATAATATGTTAAACATAAACTGATGTATAAAAACGTTAAATGTTTAAACACATTATCCAAAGCAAATGTGAAAGTCTTACCATCTACAG